TATAATGCTAAAAAACATAGTTTACTGTTCCAAATCATAATGATCGTTACTTGTCTTCATACAGCTTTTAATCCAAAAATGATATTATACATATTTTTTATAGCCTTCAAAAGCTATGTCATATTACAACTACATTTACATATATTTAATTGAAAACATGTAAATCAAGTCAATACACACGGTGTCTCAAACTAAATTTGGGAAGATAAATAACTCTTGCTTCAAATGAATCGATCGTAAAGTTTATTTCTGAATATACGAGAACATGCACAAGATGGAACAGTTGTAAACCACTTAAATTTCAAAAATGAGAAAAAGATTACCTCTTTATGATATCCATTTTAGATAGCTCTGCGAAATATAAAATGTTTAGTATCTCACCTTGTAAGTTCGGCCAGCTGTTACCTCTGTGAAGACGCAAAAAAGTGTCTGTATATCAAGTGACCCTGGTCACGTCCCGCCCGATGTTTGGAATAATGTTTGAACCCTCTGCATATTCCATTAGAAATCCTTAGCTTTCATGTATTTTTGTAGCATTATCCTAAAATGGCTGATTTTGTTTGTCGTCAATCACAATCTCGTAGCAAAAATTACTTTGGTTCAAAATGATCCCTCTATCTGTTTATGTATCGCAACAGAAAGTAAGCTTAAACTATTTCCATATTAGAAACTAAAGCATACTAGAATTCCCATTTAGAAATGTGTATTAAATTATGGGTGTTCTGGTCAGACAGTATTAAACAATCAGATCAAACAATCAGTTTATATATCACATGGAATGACGTACGTAAGTCGTTTGCTGTAGCTTTCAAATACGAATGTGATGAGTCAAATGTCGACGGATGATATGCTATATTAAACAATGATTGTACTTTTCAAAAGCTGTAGGTAACAGGTGTCCTGTTTGGCCTTATGCAAAAAGTTCTCCATGATATCTATCTAATTTAGTGCTTCTTTTTATAACAAAATCTCATTTATTTTTCACTGTTCTGTTTTTTTTTTACCTTACTAGACATTACGAACCTCTATTTGGATATAAAGAATTAGCCGTAAGTTGCGTCAGTGGTCATGGCCCATAAGTTGGAACTAATGTCTTTTAACATTCGTGTAGTTCTAGGTTCACTCCTCGGGGAGCACCAATTATAGTTGAAATGTACTACTGTTGCTACAATATCTATAAAAGATGTCTCGTCCTTCCACTATACAGTGAGTTCAAAACTATAACATGCCAAATGTTCATAGGTGTTATATTCATCTCTGCAAAGTTAATTAAAGACTAATTTTGAAGCCGTATTTCTGAACAGACAGTCAAAAAACCAAAAATGTCCCTCGTATATTAGAAATCCTATCCGAACCAAGATTAGAATAGTACCTAACTCTATTCTTGAGAAGCCACGCAAATGATGAGGAGCCACGCTTTCGGTATATTTGGGCCGGCTCGACTACAGTGAGGCTCGACCGAAGTGAGGTCGTGGTATAGGCCTCACAGAGAAGTGGCGTTAAGGATTCTTTCTTTGCTTTTCACGGGGTGAGTGAGCATAGTGTAGACATTGGCTCTCATGAGTTACAGGTATCTATGGGCAGCGGTAGTCATTTATTATCAGGGGATGCGTAGCAGACGTTTGTCCCCCCATACCAGGAAACATATCACGGGTAAAACCATAACGACAATAGCGATTTTATATGTTACCTAGTCATTTGCATATTCTCTGGCAACTTGTTCTCTCCATTCCGCAATAACCAAGAGACTAGTATCGTCATCCTCAAATAGTTGTTTTTATTTATTTTCAGTAATTGTGAAATTAAGCTAATCTTGAGAAATAACCTTGTAATTATGCAATAAGATCACTGATTTACACCATGATGCATTCAAAATTTTCTATTTGAGTCACCGTCTACTATAAAATATTAAATCATGTCAAATCAGTGTCAATTAAATATTATTTTTGTAAAAAGCTGTTGTTAAACAAACATTAAATAAAAAGCGATGAATTTCAGTGGCTTTCAGTTACATCATCAGAGAAAAGAATTTTGTGTCAAATTTAAAGAGTTACTAAGAACATTAGAAAAACCTATTTTTTACCCAAAAGATCGTAAAGTGGCTATGAAAGAACACGACGTCATTCATTTGTGAAATCAAAACTAATATCTTAGTTTGGAAACCACACCTTAATTATAAAATAGAAGGAACGCGATGTTGGGTCCAAGTGTTAATATAAAAGATTATCGAACGCAAGAGAAAAACAGTGTTCATATTGGTGCGGCTCTTGGGTGTCCTTTCATCACGTTTTATGTACTTCTTTGGCAGTTGAATGGAAGTTTTTTCTGGTTTAGTGGAGGTTTTTGTCGAAGTAATGCGGAGGGACTGCGCCTACCGCGTTCCTCCCAGACCCGATGAATATTTTGTGGTTTTTACGAGACAGCTGCTTGGGTATATTTATTTGATTATTTGATCAAACTTCTTGATTGGGAATGTTTCCGGCGACTAAGATGTGCTTTTGTAATTTATTGATAATTCATTTAATTCACCAGTTTTTCTATATGTTTTCTGTCGAGCAAAATTATTACTCAACGAATTACGCACTCAAAAACGTTACAATGAAATTTATTAAAAGGTGTTGGATTAGAGTCATCATTTTTACGATAGTACAGAGTATTAATAGTATAGTGCAAAACATTTATACCACAGTTGTAATTTGTCGTGAATAATTGATGGCACAGACAAGTTCAAGTTCAGCACAATTGTACTCGTTAAATCTAATTTTATTGAATTCAGTCAAAATCCTATGCAATTTCTATTTGTTTTAAATAATTTACAGCTATTTTTGGTATAAATGTTGTTTTGCATTAGTACACAAACACATACGCCAGTAGGGTTTTAAAACATTCTTTTATTACTGCTTAGTGCTTCGGTGTGATAACTATGGAAAGAAGAATGACGGGCATGTTGGTCGAGAGGTTAGTGCCCCTGACTGCTAAGCCGGAGGTCGTGGGTTCTATTCCCACCCAGGACAAATATTGTGTGATGAGCATATGATCATTTGTTCTGTGTCTGGGTGTAATTTATCTATAATATGTATGTATTTAAAAATATATAAGTATGTTTATCAGCAGTCTGGTCACCATAGCACAGGCTCTGCCTAGTTTGGGATCAGACAGCCGTGTGTGAAATGTGTGAGGTATATTATTATTATAAAAAGAATAAAAATAAAATGAAAACCGTTCGTGAATAAATGACTCATTCCAAATAAAGATCTTTCTTCAATAATTTGTTGTTGAAATTTAAATTTGAATTTAGATAAGAAATTAAATTTTGTAAATCGGAACTTTTGCCTTGTGATTTAGAATAACTTATATCGATTGAAGAGTAGTCATCTCGAGCTGATTAAGTCATAAGTAAGTAATCACATAAATTTGAATTGCTATACTGCGTATATGCAACTTTTGGGACTTTCTTAAGGTACTTATATCACTACTACCTAACCGTATTTTAATTTCTACTCTCATAAATAGCGAGCTTACAGATGGTGCGTCATAACCTATAAATAAAAAAAGGCTTATAACTCTTTTGTTTTTCATAAGCGATTATTAAAAAAGAAGCTAGCATCACAGTTTAATCGTGTTGTCCTCATAAATATTGAAATTATGAATACTATGAGTAACAACTAATATGTTTGTGAACATTACAGGTTTTTATTACAATTTTATCTTGAAGCTCATATTATCTTGATATTAAATAAAAAATGGCACACTTAAATTTATTTTAACACCTTTTCTTAGCAGGCTATACATTGCGTAGATAGATTAAAATGGTGGGTGTAACATTTGACCTCTACGTCATACGTGTGGCATCTGAAGATATTATAAAATCACTTGGTTTGGTATTATAAAAGAGCCTTTGTTACAATTGAAAGTCGTAGACATTATTACAATACTGTATGAATGCCTCTTAATAAATTAAACTCTGAATAACATTAACCAGCATCATATAGGTCTTAACCATTTAAGGAAGAAGTTTTAAATAATTATTAAACTGTCTATCAATTCCTAGATATTTTAAATGTCATTGGGGCTCGCTGTTGATTATTTTTCGAATTCCGAAAATAAATATATCGTAATAGTCAAGTCATGAAACTGTCGTAAGTACATGTTAAGTGCTGTGTAGTCAGTGTTCACAACTACACGAGTCGCATGAGATTAGGTACCACAAGCATATAAAAGAAAATGGTAATGAACAGAAAGGTGGGTATGATTGAATTAACTAACGTTAGGGCAGGTACTGCGTTTAATAAGTAGACATGATCACCAACGCTGGTCGTCATTTGCAAATATTCTATTTTCATCCAATTTTCTTGGATTGCATGATAATTAAGGTTTAAAATTTTCAATTCTTGAACCTTGTTCCATCCTTAATTCCATCCACATTAAAAGTAAAACATTTCCAATTTCATATTCGAAACACACTGTTTCTGGTATATAGTAAGCTAATATGTTTATGATGTATATAAACTAGACGATATTATATTGTATAGTAGAAAAGTCGAACAATTTGGTGCTGTGAGCATACTTTCGTACGAGGCTTACGTAGTTGAACGTTTTGCAGTACAAACAGAGATATCTCCTAAAATATTAAAGAATGCTTGGTATTCGCGAGCCTGCCAAATGATGTCAATGGAAATGTAATATTTGTTTTATATTATTTGTGGTTGTTATGATAGTGCTTTATTTTATTGCATAATGGGTAACGTTATCGCATTATCCTCTTTTGTGGTAATAGGCATAGTAAGTCGAGTCCACTTATTAGTATCTACTCTATAGTTATCACATAAATTACGATTTTTTTGCAAATTTAACTGGTCAGTAAAGTTTTTGTACTGGCAATGTATTTCGATTTTATCCAAAGTTTGTGTTTGCACTTGGCTAAGAGATGACTGTGGAGGAGAACTCAAAAAATCAAGGTGCGTGGGAGGAACGAGCTGAAGAGACATTGTGTGTGAGCGATGCGACAGGCGGTGCAGAGCGTGTGTGCGATGGGGTGGATTTTCAGGGGGCGCGGCGGTGGTTGGGGCGGGGTGTATCGATCCCCGCGGGGCGCTTGCGCCACGGCGGCGGGCGCGGGCGGCGTCAGTGAGCCTCGCAAGCCGTCTGTGTGCCACACGCGCAGTCCGCAGCCGGCCGCCAGCCAAGCGACTGCCTACGACTCCGTTGCGCGTATCTTCTGTCGCAACATTTGACATTCAACTCGCGACAACATTCGTACAACCTCAAACTGCTTATTTCGCAGGAATTGCTCTGGTGAAATCATGCTGAAACTATTGAAAACTTGATCTTACATAAACATTTATTATTAGAATGACTTTGAATTGATACATTTTAGAAAGTGATAAACATTATTTATTTACATACTTTTAACACCTGTTAAAGATTTAATTATGATGAGAATTAATTGAATATTCAATTTGGATGAATTGGAAGTTGGTGATGTGTACAAAATAAAAAAGAGGTGTCTCTTAAAGTGATCGTGTTGTGACTGAGAAAAAAACTGACACTTGGAGCATGGCTCACGAGTTCACGGGTTATTAATTCTTTGGAAGAAGGAATTCGAAAACAGAGGTCTCTGTCACGTCCGCTCATCGGAGTGATAAAATTTATGACAAACGGTAAGGAGTGCGTAGTGATAAGGGTTGGGTGCGTTATCGGTACGGGCGGCGCGGCGGCAGCGAGGGCCGCGCTGTATCAGCCTCTCGTGGGATTCTCTGCGCTCTTAATTACTGCTCACCGTCTTTGAGAACGATCTGCTCCATACATTACTCTTATCTACACACAATTACATATTGCCGCCGTTACTGTCCACCGATAACCAACCTTCTAATGATTTAGTTCTAAGGGAATAATTACTATTAATTATTAATATAGTTATTACATATGACGTATAAACTTATGCAATTTAATGTATACATTTTACTTATACATTATGAGACGACACTGAATTAGTTTAAGCAGTTTAAACTATACCCCAGTGATAAGAATTAAATTTTCACTTAAATTACTGTTTGACTATTGTGGTATAATACAAAATACTATTACAAGATTTTTTCAGTAATAAACATTACGCATTAATATTTTTTAATGCGCAGATCTAAATTTTGTTTTTTAGATCAGAGTACAAATTATCATTAGCTCGTAAAACAAGACAGATCAGATCATAGGATTCAAGTGTTCAATTATAATCACATTAATTAAAATCTCATTTTTTAAACTTAAATCTATTTTATCAATTTGCGGTCTAACCTATAATAATCTGATCTGTACTGTATACAATATGCGTTATTTTGTCGTAATGCTATGCAATGTATTGTCGTCACTTATGGTGAGGATGAAATATATTTAGATCTTTAAATACTGAAGAAATTGATAGTTAGTTAAAGGTACTTACTGTAAAAGTATGGGTATTTAAGACATCACATACCGGATAAAACGGCTTACTTGCTCCCAGGACACTATCTATGGACGTGACTGTTTTTAAGTCTCGGTTGGAGCACGTCCTACGCTTATGAGTAGAACCTTCTCATATTTAAGATAAGACTTTGAATTAGGAAGTATTTGATCGGAAAGATTGAGATTCAAGAGTATTTTGTAGACAATTATAAAGAGTATCGACAGCCGTAAAGATAAGGAGTATAACTTACTTATCAGTTGTCTTTGTCTTAAAGCTAAGGGCTTTAAGTCATAACAACTCGCAAAAATCTGTTACTGTATAGACGATGATAGATTCCTCAAAAGAAGCATCGTTCATAGCCTTTTATATACATTATATCGAACTATTTACCTTCAATTACATACATGACTTGACTTAGATTCGGGACAAATTGTACTTACAAGTTTATATACTCGTAGACACGTTTGTATTATTATTATTTGATATTAAATAACATTAAAAATATACTTGAAATATTCCTGAAGACTTTATTGTTTATGTCTTTAGTTTTTGCTTCTTCCAATACTGTCCGGATTCTTAGACCATTCACTTTTTTACGTAAATTTTATAAGTCACTACTTATTGACTAACTTGTTTACTGTTCTAATTTATCTTTCATTCGGTTTTAGATTGCGATTACAATCGGTTATTTTTGCAGAAACTTGTGGCAAAAGATCGCCGACTAACTTATAGTATGTATTCGTTGTAAAAGATCTAGGTATAGGTCACGTTTTCATATTTCAAATATGTGTAAAAATTACTATTAAAGTATATCTCAACGATCGGATGTAGTGTGTCCTCTACGAAGCCTCTACGATGTACTACGGTGCGTCTACGAAGTCTTGTATATTTTCTACAAACTAAAGTTTCGTTTTGTATAGGTTTAAGACGAAGCTTATTAGACTAAAAATTCTTGTAGAGATAGATTAGATAGCAGATTAGTAATTGTAATGCTTAATATTCTGCAATTCATATATTTGATGCCGACCCACAAATATGATGGCGTTAGTTGGTTTGTCGTTTTTTTAACAAACTTTAATGATAAATGTTATTTTATATCCCTGAAACATCAATAGATGGTAAATAATCCAATAAACCTGTGAAAACCAAATACAGCTAGTATATCAGTATATGAACTGACGCAAATTATTTCATTAAAAAATGTACCTGAAATGTTTATTTATAAAAATTCAGATTAATAAGAATAAGAATATTCTACCACCCACATACATTTATAATGAGATACGAATGTATTGGCTTAAATGTGAACTCCTAAAAAGTAATTGATATCGAAAGACACCCACGTTGTGAAGCCACGCCTAGATACACGCACCTTTAGATAAATGGGAAAATTTCTTTACACAGCTTTTATAAATAAAACGTATCAACTTTAATTGAGCACATAAAGCGATAGCTGTTATTTTTGTAACCATATTCCAGCACATTGTTATTCCGAACATGTTTACATCGATATTTGGTATAAACCTAATGATACATTAAGACAAAATTCTATTTGAGAGGCACGTTCCGGTTGGAATACATTGAACAGTAGTACGCAGTAGCTAGATATAAAATAGCTCATTACTTTTTATATCTTAGAGAAATATTGAGGTCGCTCTAGGGACCGATAAGCTTACATCACTCGTATACGAAAACGAAGACGTCCTTATCTACAGACTAAACCCCAAGCATGTCCACAAAATAAATCGTCCGATGACGCCCGCGGTTCAATTTTGTGTGAAAATTACGATTTTAGGTACGTATCTTGAGAAAAAATTCCACCAACAAATAGATAGCAGGCCGAGAGTTACTGTGATTCTCCTCACGTCGCTCACGACCACAGGGTGCTTTAAAAATTCGTTTTCCGACCTTCCGACAAGTTCGTATGCTACGCTGGTGACCTTTTCCTTAAAGTACTATGACCCGGCGCATTGCTTGTGGTAAATCAAATTGCGAGTTTCATTTCAAACAACCTGACTATGTTAGGTTTTGTTGAAGCAAGCATCTGATTTACAACACAAAATTTAGATTTAATATAAAGGTTAATTTTTAGTAAACAATTGAAACATATGCATGTAATCACTACTGATATTTTTAATAAGGTCCATTTATTTTACATATAGTACTTTTGTTTTTCATCATCATTATTCATCATCAGCCTATCGCAGTCCACGGCTGGACATAGGCCTCTCCCATTTTGTTTTTACATGTACTATTTTACTAAATAACAAATCAAATACCCCTTATTATTTAGCTTTTCTTTATTTACCATGTACAACATCGCAAAAATCCAAAACAGAAAAAAAATCTACTTGGCTTATGGTTTAAAATTTCATAAAGCTCTTTTTAATATTTAATGAAAAAATACGTTGTGGGTTGTTACGTGTGTTACCCTTATTATGCCCTTATTGTAAGGGTTAGAGGCATGAGATTAAGTGTATTGCTGTTATAGATGAAGAACAATTTAAAAGGTTACATACTTATCGGAAATTTCTGTATGCTTATGCCTTAGCTGCAAAGTGACTTTTATGGGTTCTGAGTCTTACCTCTTATTGCTGACATCCACAGATTCTATAGACCAGTCAAATTTAGAAAAAAATTACAAAAGAAAAAAAAATTACAAAATAACAGATTGGTGTTAAAATTGTAGAATTCTAGTGCTAAACCTTCAAGACAATAGGCGTTAACCAGTTTTGTTAAGACAGTAGTGATTTTTGATCAAATGTGTTTTTTAGCTAGATCTCTCCAGGTACAGGGATGGCGAACCAAAATTGACACCAAAAGGTCAATTCTCATAAAAAAATTGTTTCAAAATTTAGTTCCAATCTAGTCTCGATCTCTTAAATGTTATCAAAAGTATTTTCGTAGTCAAGTTTAAAAAATCCAACGTTGACTGTAATGCGATTATATCGTACTGTGACCGATAGTTAGTCTTAGTAATACTTTACTACAAAAATACCTTTTATGACATTTGTGAGATCGAGATTAGATAGATCGAAACTGAATTATTAATACGAAAATTGAAATTGTGATGACCTAAGTAGACCTTGTGTTCGTTTGTCAACCATTGTTAAATTTATATCGCTATATATATTTATAATGCTTGTATTAAGTATTACTTACTTTAAAAGTGACTGACATCTCGATCAACTATATACCTTCACATGTATATAGCTGCTATGAATATAATTACGTATTTTGCGATTCCAAAGCTTAGAAGTAAGTGTGGTTATTTATTTGTTATAATTATTATATTTTTATGACCTGCTAAAATTATAATTTAAAAGTATGTTTGTATTGAAATAAATTTTGGAGAAACAAGACGAATGCTGCATCTCTGAAATTGGATTGTGGGGTGTGAGGTAATGTATTAGACAGCTGTATGGTCCACACTCATATTGTTCAAGTACATAAAATATAGATGAATTTATGGAGATTACTAATAATAAAAATTACTAATAAATAATATTAAGCACATTTTAGTAGTCTGTTTAGGATATTGCTTTTCAAAAACTGACAAGTATACGTTTATGCTGAAAGCATAAAGAACAAGTAATTAATGTTAGTAAATATGTAAAAGTATATTAGACGTTATAAAGTATAAAATATTAAGCGTTATTAAAAATAACTGTGTTAAAGAGACCAGTCGCTGCTATAATTAATTTTGACACTGAACAATGTTTAGTATCTTGTAAAGCGAAGCTCCAAATGCGTCAAACAGATTTTTACTATTAAATTACTTATAATGAAATCCGT